GTAACCAACGCTTTGCTAGGCCCTTGAAACTTCACTGGACCGGCCATGTAGTTTCCTTTTGCTATCACAAGTTCAAGGTTTAAAATATCGATGGTTTCGGAAATATCGGTAGTCCAAAAATACGGAAATTTTGATGAAAATATCGGGATATTATCGATATCGATAAAAATTGAATAAAAAGGACGAAAATTGTATGAAAAACTCGGAAATTTTTATTGAAACTTTGGAAGATATTTATTTAATCAATTATCTATTAGTTTATCACAAAAAATTAAAAGGAAATGCATTGCATGATGGGTTTTACTAATTTAAATTGACTACACAGCAAGCTGGCAAACATTGTGAGTGTATAAAATATATAGTAATTAATGAAAGAATATTAAACACACAATAATCATTTATATATAATAATTCACTATAATATTTTACACTTTATACATTGCATGGTAAGATACATAAGTACCACATAGAGTTCCTATGAGGTTCAAATTTTTCACTATCTTCATCATCTCTATATGTAGAGTAAGTATATTGTGAAGAGTAGTCATCAAATGATAGAGAGTAATGCTACACTTACAACATTTGGGTTAATTACTGTAGAGGTCCCTGAACTTGGCCCTCATTTGCAATTGGGTCCGTGAATTTTTTTTTCGGCAATTACATCCGTTAACTCGATAAACAGTTGCAATTAGGTCCTGCCATCCAAATCTGTCAATTTGTCCGTCAAAATTAGGGGTAAAAGCGTCCTTTCAGTTAACATGGATCAATTAAATGAATGAAGTGTATTTTAATAAATAAAATCAGAAAAACAGAAAATATTATTTTACATGATGTGGTATGTACACATCAGCTGCCAAATCATGTGGTATGAAATTGTAGTATAAAAATGTGGTAAGACTAGTATTATTCAATGATAAATCCCCAAAATAGTTTTGCATGTGATTGTTAACATGCTACCCATATGGATTCGAGATTGGTTGACGTTTTCCATAAGCAAAATTATTTGAAGATTGGGTCTCAGATTCTTTCCATAAGCCGCTCAATTCCATTCCAAAAGGAAAAAGTCAAAGACTCACATTCTCATGTGTAAATTTAATTTTTACAAAAATAGTTCAAAACAAAACAATAAAACTATACATATTTTAGCATATTATCACAAAAACATAAGAAACATGGTGGTTAAGGCATT